TTTTTTTATATACGATTATGTAAACCTGGCTTAACTCTGTCTTCGACCTTCTTACAATATCGTCTCCTAGTCAAGTCCAATTTTTGAAAATATTGGTATAGTAATTTTATTATATAGATAAGCTCACGACCGTCAAAATAACAAAAAAAAAGCTTTAGGAATTAAAAATTTAAAAAAAAGGAGATATTATAATTAACTAGTTGCAACACTATCTATTATTAATTATACATATACATACATATAGCGCCATCTATGCATAGCATAAGTTAACTTGACACATGTGAGCCGCGTCGTCTGGTTCCATGTATTTCAAAAGCCCAATGACCAATACAAAATTGCTAGTTATTAACTTCATAATTGGTTTAATTATTATGCGTTATTACCAAACACAGAGAAGTAGTTTAGAGTATAAAACTATTTTACACAAAAGTAACAGTAATGACATAAATATTTTGTAAAAAAACAAACACATAATATAATTAGGAGACAATCGTATTAAGAAGTGGAAAATAATGGGTTTAATGTATTATATAACTTATTTGACTTATTTCTACGTCCTATGCCAATGCACAACTCTAATTATACGTTAAATTTCTGTAGTCGTAAAAATTTGCGGAATATACTTCCTAAGGAATACGGAAAGTTGGCCTCCAGCTAATAATTATACTAAACAATTTCTTATATCCTAGACGTATTATAAGAATATTTCACTAATTTCATTTCATACAAATATTATTTTACAATTAAATCTGATGCAACGTGCTTGAATATTCTAAAATCTATTTTACAATTTGTAACACAGAATTTTACAATTATGGCTTAGTGGGACAATATGCCATGAAACCATAGTGAAGCGAAAGAAAAAATATTGTAAATATATTTCTGAACTAAAACAATGGAATTGGAATCAGTAACTGTTTTAAGAAAAAATAATGTTACTTAATTTTTTAATTAAGATTAAAAACGGTAAAACCTACAATGTATGTTTTTTTTACAATTAAAACTTAAATAACGATAATAATACTCAGATACACTGTTGAAATATCGCACGCCAACCAACTATATTTGTGTTGATGAAGTAATAACTGACCAAATCAATATTAATTTTATTGCAATACTATTCAATTATTGCATTAAAACAAACGAAGACTGCACGCTATATTGTAATAAGTTTACACGACTATTTTGAAACAAAATAAGTATTAAATTATAAACAATAGAACTCTATTATGATTTCTATGATACTCCATTCCAACTACTATTAATGAAGATATTAATATAGGTATACTATAAAGGACATTATAATGTTATTTTTAGAAAGTTATGAATGGGACATCATATTGCTTATTCAAAAAAACGTAGAAAAGCTATACAATTGGACCCGGAGGTCTTTTTTTTATTTATAAAATTTTTCCGCGTTTATTAATACGTTACAAATTATTCATAGGAAATATGTGAATCGTTGAGATGTAACAGGCGCAAAATAATGTATGAAACATTAATTCATAATGGTAGGGGAGCCCACGATGCTAAATGGGGATTTACTCGAGCGTCGTAGAGACCTATTGGGATGCAAAGCTTAGATAATAAGAAGAAAAAAATGTTATATGATAAATTCCTTTTCATCGGTGGGGGAAGCGGCTATAGATAGTTAAATATGTAAAAAAAAACTGTTGCATGGACATCCTCGAGCGCGTCAGATATTGATAGCATCTATGCCCTACGTATTTTTAATAATGTACGTATGTTAATCTGATCGTTTGCATGATGCGGGTGGTTGTATTTAAGGGTTGAAAATGAAAAAAAAAAAATTATCGAGTGCGTCAGATTTTCTAAGGGAGTGTTAAGTGCACCAAAAAAAAGCTCTCATTCACTAATCTGACGATTTCGATGGGACGCAAACCCACAGCCATTTTCATAATTTGCAAAAAAAATCGCAATTTTGAAATACAAGCGCGTCAGATTATGATATATGCGGTTCATCTTTATGTTCTAAACGTACTGTCTCATAATCTGACGATTATCTAGAGGGATTCGCCTGATCTGACAAAAAAAAAATAGAAAAACGGTTCACCTAAAGGGCCATCCCTGCAACTTCCCGCTAATTCCATTCCTGGGCGCTTAAAATTGATATTTTGAGCTCGCCGAGTTCGAAGAAATAATATTTCTATGCATTTGAGCTCTACCAGCTCGAAAGTCTGATAGAAGTTTCATAGAACACTATTTTTGGAATTTTCAAACCGCAATAACTTTTGAATGGATCAAGCAATTTTCACGCGGTTGGCGGCATTCGACGCAGTTTTATCATCCTCATAAGTAATTTTAATTGATCGAACCACAAATTTCGGAGTAATCCCGAAAAAACACATTTTCGGGTTTCTTTCGTTCACGATATCTCTCGAACGAATCAACCGCTTTTGACCAGCTTGGTGGCGATCGACGTGGTTTTTGAAGCTCAAAGGCGGATTAGTTTTTGAAGTTGATCGATAAAGAAACCACATAAAAAAAAAACATTTTTTTTGAGATATATCAAAATTTATCAAAATTTCAAATCGGTTCAAATTCACAGGAAATGTAATTTTGAGGGAAACATTTAGAACGCCGTTTAGTAGATTCTGATCGGTTTAGTCGTTCAAAAGTTATAAGCGAGTCACACACACATACATACAGACATAGTGACAACATCACGGAGGTAGTCAGGGAAGCTTCCTGTGACCTTAAAACGTCAAGATCTGATGAAAACTCTATTTTCGCAAAACGGGTTAAAACCAAAACTTCCCGAATTGTTTAAAATTTTAAATTTTTCTTAGCGGGAAATCAAAATTTTTTTTATTTTTTTTTAAATCATTGAACTTAATTAATTGAAAAGCTCAGGAAATAGCATGCAAATAAATAAGAGTATGCTTTTTAAGTAGAATATATGTATTTATTAAAAAATTACTTTAAAAAAAGCTTAAAACAATTTAATGTTTTATAATTAATTGATTAATTAATCATCATCTTCATCCGTAGTATCATCTTCCTCTTCTGGCTCAATTTCATTCTCAGATTGCGTATCTGTAACAAAAAATTATTAAAATATTTAACGATATTTTCTTTATGAACAACGTGTTTTTTCTATTATTGAAGAAAAGAAATACCCGATTCTGGAGTATCATCAAGAATATCAGGTGTTATGACTACATCTTCGTACGCTTTCGGCAATTGGTCACCTGCAAACCAGTTCATTTTAAATTTCTCGTCGACAATTTTCCATCCATAGTCCGTTGGTAAATGATCAGTAATTTTTGCATTATGGGCATTACTCCATAAGCATGCAATGAATTTTGTGCGTAACACTTGCTGGAGTAACTCCGATTCACAGGGTGGCAAGTTGCAGGCATCGTAATGCCGGACACTCAAGGAGAAGGGTTGCGACTTGTCTTTTACTTTGTATGTCCTATTGAAGATGATAATCCTGGCTTGTTTGACATCGTCTAACTTTTTCAACCCATACAAGTGGCAAGTAAAAGACTGTATAATGTTAAAAGAATCCTGCACATTATGCTCATTTGATCCTAAATCCACAAATGCTTCTTGGATAATTTCTGAATTCATTAATAATTGTAAAGGTTTATTTTTCCCTCGTCGGTACAATGCTGGGTTGAAATCGCAACCAGTGAATGCATGCAAAGCTGGAAGCGCTTTCGAAATTTTTGAACCTAATTTTTCGGCATCGCAAGACCGAATGAAAAAACGATAATTTTGTTTGAAGTTTCTATGTACGTTTAGAAATTTAACTGTCAAACTTCGACAGATGTTTCTATAAAAATAAATAAAAGATAAAATCATTTTAAATAATTCATCGATTCCAATAAGCTATTATGTCTTAATATATATAATATTCATTTCATACAAAACTATTCTTTTGATATATTTTAAACGTAAAGTTTTCTGGTGCTATGATAGTGACACTTATTATTTCTAAACGTTTCCGTCAAATTTTGAATAGAGAAAGAGTGAGAGAGAAATAGAAACGCGGAGAAGGAAATATAGGAATCACGCAGCTGCACGCATTTTACTTTATTATCGACGAATTTTTGTTATTTCGGCTTGCGGAAATCGTCAGATTATATATTTTTCATTATTCTTGAATTATTTCCTTCAAAACATTTTTCATTTTCAACCCTTAAATACAACCACCCGCATCATGCAAACGATCAGATTAACATACGTACATTATTAAAAATACGTAGGGCATTGATGCTATCAATATCTGACGCGCTCGAGGATGTCCATGCAACAGTTTTTTTTTACATATTTAATAATCTATAGCCGCTTCCCCCACCGATGAAAAGGTATATATCATATAACATTTTTTTCTTCTTATTATCTAAGCTTTGCATCCCAATAGGTCTCTACGACGCTCGAGTAAATCCCCATTTAGCATCGTGGGCTCCCCTACCAATAGGCCAAGCTTCAGGCCACCTGGTCACTCTATCTGTAGCTGTGAGGAGGTAACGGTACCCGTTACTGACAGGGAGAGGTCCAACGATGTCAATGTGCACATGTTAAAATCGTCCCGATGGCAACTTAAACTCTCCTGTCGGCGCCGAAACGTGTCGCGCAATTTTACTGCGCTGACAAGCCAGACATGAACGAGTCCACTCTCTGCAGTCATTTCTAACTGATGGCCATACGTATCGATCGGTCACTAGCCTAGTGGTTGCTCTAACGCCGGCATGACTCAAATGGTGAAACTTGTCAAAAACCGCACGGCGAAAAGGAGGCGTTAAATAGGGACGCGTTTTCCCAGTTGAGACGTCTCAAATAATTGAAATATCTGTTCCAGGAATATTAACCTTAGAAAGTTGAAGACCTGAGTGAGTTGAAACTAAGATGGTAGAGAGCTCTCGATCAGACTCTTGGGACTTTAAAAGAGCTTCAAAATCTTGTTCAATCGATATTGCCTCTATGCGTGACATCGCGTCAGCTACTACATTTTCTTTTCCATTTACATGTCAGATATCAGTCGTGAATTGAGAAATAAATGAAAGCTGGTTAAGTTGTACCGGGGAAAGTTTTTCTCGTTGCTGGGAGTATAAATAGGGGGTATAAATAGTGGCATGTTGTGCTTCCAGAATATGTCTAAAATGTTGGATCGCTTCATACACACCAAGCAGTTCACGGTGGTATGCTGGCCAAACTGACTGTCGTGTTGTTAATTTCTTGCTAAAGAAAGCGAGTGGCTGCCAACTATCTCCAACCAGCTGCTTTAGACATGCACCTACGTGACTTGAAGATGCATCTGTGAACAGTCCTAAAGGTGCATCAACTGCAGGATGAGCCAATAGAGTAGCTGTTGCAAGGTGATCTTTGCATCGTTCAAAAGCTAGTTCTAATTCTGGCGTCCATGGAACTGGTTTAGAGCCTTTTAAATTTGATTCTGCCAAAACGTTAACTAGCGCCTCGCTTGGAATTCAGCCGCTTTTGTAAGAAATCGTCGGAAAAAATTTACCATTCCTAGAAACCTACGGAGGCCTTCGACTGATTTAGGAAGAGGATAATTCCGTAAAGCTTCAATTCTGTCTGGAGGTGGGCGAGTGTCATCTTTAGAAATGAGGAAACCTAAAAACGTTACTTCCTCGGTTCCAAGTATGCACTTCGATGTATTGACGACGACGCCATATTCTGCGAATCTGCGGAACAATCAGCGAAGGTGCTCAGCATGCTCCTCAGGAGTTTTTGAATAGACTAAAACGTCATCAATGTACGGGTAACAGAAATTAAAACCTCGTACAACTTCGTCCATAAAACGCTGAAAAGACTGACCAGCATTACGTAGACCAAATGGCATAAAGGGGAACTCGAACATTCCAAAAGGAGTTGTATTCGCTGTTTAGCAGATATCACCCTCATGGACGGGAATTTGCTGGTAAGCCTTGACCAAATCGATTTTGCTGAAAATAGACGATCCTACAAGGTTCTGACTAAAATAAGCTATGTGGTGGACCGGATAGCGGTCCGGGATAGTCCTGGCATTTACAGCACGATAATCGCCACAAGGTCGCCACCCGTCCTGCCCTTTTCGCGCCATGTGAAGTGGTGACGCCCAGGGGCTGTTTGAAGGACGAGCTGTACCACAGGATACCATTTCCTCGAACTCTTTCTTAGCCGCTAAGAGTTTTTGCGGTGCTAGTCTCCGTGGTCGAGATGAAACCGGAGGGCCCTCGGTGGTAACTATGTGATGCTGTGTGGAATATTTTACCAGTCTCGGAAGTCCAGGAAAACGAGTAATATCCGGAAACTCCTGCAGGATCGTACTGAATGGCGATTCAGCGACAATTGTCTTGATACTCGCCTGGTCCACCTGAGAAAGTGATGATATGGCTTGATAATAAATTGTCATCTCTTTTTGTGTCAAGCTCAATTGTTTTAGTACCACAAAATTAGTGCCGGTACATGGTGCCTTGACTTTCTAAAGTCTTCGGATTCAAAAATCATATACATACTTTTAAAAAAATCTTATGTACGCGCGTAAGAAGTTATACTTCTTTGGCATTATTAAAAATAGTTTTTGATTGCATGCAAATAATTAATTACAATTAAATAATCAAAAGTCTGGAAAAGGAGTCATTATAGTCAATAAAGTTCAGTTTACATTTGAAAAATTAAATAAATATATATTTTTTATTATTCTCTTACATTAAGTGTACTTAACATAAATTCTATTATTATTCGAATGTTGTTTTTAAATTATGTCCAATGCCGTAGCATCTAACTTCATTCTGTTAATTTTGTATCACGGTGCGCGCGCATCGTAAAATTTCACTCTCATAAATATTCATAACGCGCCTAAAGAAGTATAACTTCAAAAATACAACATACACAACATCTCACTAGTCGCTACATAAAACAGAATACTTTTTGGGGCTTTTTAGGGAAAACTCAAATCTTGCAGGAGGTGGCAACACTGACGCCAAACTATTCATTTCAATCAAGTTAAAAGTAATTATTCTAGTCTGTGGACTGTAAGTACAAATATCAACTTGGCAATTAGCAGTTAGGTTCATGAAATTAATAATTATTGTAACACAAGTTAAAGCCTAAAGGTGTATGTTCTATTAAGGCTTGACTGAAAATAATATTATGATAATATAGAATTAAATATTAATTAATACACAAGACTAATAGTGAATCAGTTACGAGTAAAATAGAGAATCGACTGGCGTAAGGCGTTATACGTCTACAACTTTTTTGCTAACAGCTGACCAAAGTAAATTATAAGACTAGTGACTCAGACAGGATCTAATGAATTGTGGTAACTGTGCTCAATGGCAATGCTCACAGCATTTAGCATTAGTCTTTAACAGCCATGCCAGTGGCTAGGAGTTCTGGAAATCGAGAAAAAACTGTTGTATCAAAAGTTTTGTAAGTATTGATGACTTGTGACTAATCGCATGATTTTCAAGCCTTGGAAATTACCTTGATCAATGAACCATAGCTTTATAGTCGACAATCAATTACTTTAATAACTTTATATTGTGATATTTTGACGATACTATGCACGACGTCGGAAGTTGTTTAACAACTGAAATCTATGTGTGTTATCTTATCAGAGAGATTATGTATTCAAAAGACTGACATGCCGTGTAATGGGCACAATATTGCAAATCAGTACTCCTACAGAAAAGCTGAAAGTTGTTTTGGTGTGATAGTCCGTGGGCCTATGGAACGAAAAGAACTGACCCTAAGTTTTCACAATCTTATTAAACGAGGTAGTTTTTGTAGTGAAATGCTTTTGTGTTTGTTTAAAAAAGTTTGCTTTGAATTTTCTTTGAAAAATGCTTTACAGTGTTTATTCATCATTGGTATTTTTACAGACATTCTACAACTTAACAATATCCAAAATATTAATAGTTTCAATAGTGAACTTACAAAAATGATTTATATTTGTATTTATTTTTTTATTAAACATTTGGTATGTAATTCTTGGGAGTTTACTACACTACTTTTACTAATGTCAAATTTAATAAGTTATCTATTGTGTTTTAAGAACAAAGAAATAAAGAGTATCTTAAAATAATTAGAATTATTATCTTTTTTAAAAGAAATTGTCTTTTATCATGCGACAGTTCTGCTTATGCTTATCTTTCATTGTTCAAAAACAAAATGTTTATATCACCAATTTATCAGATATTACACAATTAAATTAAATCCATAATGATATATATGTATCTAGTAAAGCCATGAGTGTGGGTACAACAATATTATGAATGCATATTTTATATTATGCATAACATATTTTAGCTACACTATTTATTTTTATTATTAATATATTTTTTGTATTTATTTGGGTTCTAAAAATAATTTATCTAAATTTTAAATAAATTTAAAAAATAACAAAAACAAGGTGTGGTATTTTGAAGTTATTTTGTTGTATATATTAACTTTTTTTTACACAAGCATATTATATATGAGTAAATAATATATTTAATATGTATGTGATGATTAAAAATCCAATAAAACATAATACTTTTGAAAACCATGTTAATAATACTGCTCTTATTTTTTAGATGAAGAATTATACAGTTACACAAACCAAGGTATGGAGACCCCAACTCCGTCATCACCTGGTGATTGCCTGCAAGGAATATTTCAAAACCTGGACTCCTTGACACCTGGAATAGACTCTGATTTTGATGAGTGCCTTGCAGTTCCTGAGTCTCTCTCTGTTATAGAAATAGATAAATGTAAAGAGGAAACTGATGCATCAGGTGAAATATTTATACAATTTTGTTGAAATATTTTCTTTGGTCATGTATGGAAAATAAATGTAGCATTTTGTTTTTAAGAATACTTCATTCTGGACTAGTATAATCTCATGTTAGATGAATATGTTAATTTTTAGTAGTATGTAGAAATTCCGCTACTCTGAGTTGTTTTCTTCTTCAATCTGTTTGACCTTAGGTCTAAAGTTTCATTTTGGATAACTTTATAATTATTTTTGTGTGAGAAGGCATATGCTGATCACATGTTTGTAACACATCATTGTAAAGAGGGTTTTTTTTAAATTTCATTCTCTATGAATTTTCTCATGTGTCCAGCTTATAAAAATTATAAGAATCAGAAATGTCCAACGGCCACTCTAAATGCTTATGAAACAGAGAGAGAATACAGATATATGTATAATTTTTTATTTAAACAAACTAAATGTTTCTTATTATCTGTTTATTTTTGTTATTATCGATTTACAATCAGGTATGACTGTGAATGAATTTTTGCATTGACGCAAAACTTTATCAGTCAAATAATGTGAGTTCCCTAAAAATATTGTTATTAGTAACTTATTTATGAAAAGTATGGCCATAGAGTAAAATGTTTCAAAAAGTATTTAGAGAAGCAATATGTTTAGCAAAATGTTTTTACTTTAAGAATAAGTCAATATTAATATAATATAGCAATGCTATACTAATCCTTAGATTACTTAGTGCTATTAAAGTACTTATCAATTTTTTTCAGTACCTCTAGCTAAATCAGTGCCTTACAAAAGCATACACTCTACGCCAATAAAATTCAAATCAGTGCATAGGAAAGTGTTCATTCCGGGTGTTGAAATAAAGGTCAGATTTGTGGAGAATGAAAGGAGTGTTACCACACATCTTCTTAATCCTAATCTGTGAGTATTACCACTTTTCATAGATAAAACAGACCTTTTTTAATTTCTATTTATTATCAATTTAGCTGAGTCTCGAGTTAAAAATAAATAAAAATCTAAAAAAATCTAAAAATCTTCATAAGTAGAACCAGAATTTGTTTCAAACTAAAAAAAAGTTGTTTTAAAAATTGGTAAAAGAATGTTAACTAATAGAAAGCTACAAACTAATAGATAAATATTATCCACAAAAAGTTGTTTGTGGTGAAGAGTAAAACGGTGAAAACACAGTCAAACCAAAACCTGCCTCAACAATTATAGATATATGATTGAGTACTAGAGAAAAGTAGGGATTGAAAATATCTACAAAAAATTCAGCGACAGCATGTGTTTTTATATTATAGTCTGTTTGTAATAAACTCAATCTACCTCGGACGGAATTTATTGCGGTTTTCATCAATATCTAGAATAATTCATGAGGAAGGTTTATATATATAATTTTACAAAGTTTCCTGGTCACATTTTAATATTATCGTAAATAATCTCCGTTAAAAAAAAGTCCTTAAAATCCGCTAATATTCTTTAGTTATATATCTCAAAAGGTTGCTCAAAGCGCTAGTTGACTCTAAGACTTAGCTATTACAATATAGTATATTATGTGTTCTATACGATGAACGTAAGATTATATCCATTAGACGAAACTAACCTGACGTCATGACTTAGATAAGGCCCCTACAACGAAAATAGAATGCGGTCATTGACGGATACCGTTTATACTACGGTTTGTAATACGTTCAACCATCCAATTAAGTCACTTGAAGGTTGGAGGAAAAAACTAACCATTAGAAGCGATTAAAAATAAACAATAATTATTTTCCTTTATTTCTTTCCCATGTAAGTGTGATACATGTCTTAATACAGGAAGGTCTTATCATTCAAGTAACCTTGCAAATATTATGACATATCAACTGGTAGTTGCTAACACGAAGGCATGCCATGGGTATTATTTTCTTAAATTTATTACATGACCGTGGATACAAGTCCTTTAGTCGAATAAATATAGCCAGCAATGTTGCTGGTAAATATAATTGTTTTTGAACAAAATAAAGCTTTTTATGCTTGCTAATAAGCAGGCTTTTTAGTATATGTGTAGGGTACCCTTATAGTAACTTTTGCGACCGATGCTTACTGATAACTAAATGTATTTGTCGAGGTTAATAGTTACGAAGAGTTTCATTCTTTAATATATTGTTTTAAACACATTAAAAGGTATAAATTGAAACAGAGCGCGGTCACAAATTAGTCGAATAGAGATTTACCATTGATTACAGAAATTGCGCGCCTGTTAGCAATAAACTATTATAAGTATATAAATTACTAGCGACCCGCCCTGGCTTCGCACGGGTGCAATGTTGATGCTAAATTCAAAGTGCTATAGGGGGAACCGCGGCCTCCAAAAAATTTCATTTAAATCATATGCTGTAAAGGGCCATATAGATCTATATTATATCAACAATGTATATTTAAGGTATTTAATTAGATAAGGATTAATGCTGTATTGGTTAAAATCGCTTCGAAAATTAGCCATCATTTGTCGTAAAACGAAAATGACGAAAAAATTTTATTGTGGGATATCTATAAGAGATAGACATATACCATCGCCGAGTTTTCTATAGACCTTTTCAATGTGTACAATACTTAGTACATTATTTTTATAAATCTCGTAGGGTTCAGCTTGCGTTTGCAATGTAAGCGGAAAAAATGTAATTATTTAGGACATTAGAAACCTCAAAAATAACAGTATTTCTCCAATATTTTATTGATGTTATTATACATATAAACCTTCCTCTTCAATCACTCTATCTATTTAAAAAAAACCGCATTAAAATCCGTTGCGTAGTTTAAAAGATTTAAGCATACATAGGGATATAGTGACAGAGCAAGCGACTTTGTTTTATACTATGTAGTGATACGACCAATTATCCCTTTGGGTCTTTATAAAATTGACATTTGAACTGTATCGTAACTGTTCCAAGTTTTAAATTTTTCTAGTTTCAAATAATAATGGGGTTCAAATTTTCCATACAAAAACTTATTGTTACGTTATGACGTCAACGCTTTTGTTCAAGCTAGGTCGTTGAATGCCAGTTGTCATTCAAAGTACAATCGAATAATTACTAGATAAAGATCTATCTACCGCATATTAACAATCAGCGATTTGACGTCGCCTTGTATTTTTCTCTGTATAGACGAATGTTCATCACAGTCAGCTAAGAAGTTTACCGAAACAGATAGTTCGTTACAAAATTTCAAATTCCAAATGATATTGGAAACGGCAATACATCCGTGATCCCTTCTATTAATTTTGAAGCACTATTACCATGACATGTTTCAGATATACGATAAACCTGGAACATGGCGACTTCAAATGGACGATAAAAAAGCGATACAAACACATACTCTACTTGCACCAACAACTGGCTTTATATAGAACGTCGTTAAAAATACCATTTCCAACAAAATCACACAAAACAAGACGAGCCAGTTTTAAAAATACAGTCGATACAGAGGAAAAGGCCGAAAGAATAGCTTTGGAGGCTCTACCTCGAAGTAATTCTAAGAAACGGGAATGTAGACCGAGGAAAAGGAAAGGTGCTCTGCCAAGGTAATAATTGAATTATTCTAAATTTAAATAATAATAATCCAATGGTATCCAAATAACCTCTTTGGTCGAAATAACCACAGATATATCAAATATACAGCTTGTTTCATCATAGGAGATTAATTAGGAATTAAATTTTATCGCCACCAGTGAAATACTTATCTCTAAGTTCCGTCGGCTATCTGATCCTCTTAATCAGTCTCATTTGATTAAATTTCACTTTAAATGTGCAAATATTAATGTAATTACAATTGCGACTAATTTACTTTTGGTGCGAATTTTGTTTATCAAAATAGATTTGTATTCATCAAAATAACGAATATGACGTTTCTGACTATTTAGCCTCAAAACATTGTCAAAGAACTTAAGAAGAACAAAAATGAAGTCAAAGAACTTTCAAAACTAACGAATTGTAAAAAGAACTTCTGGCCAGGATACCGACATCAGATCATTAATTTCAACGTACTAAAGATAGATAAAACGCTTATCAAGTTTATATCTGATAACAATTGACAATTTTTCTCAATGAAGTGTGTCGTATTTGACAACACTTATGTAACAATGTGTAAAATACGTCTTGAAATGTTTAACATTCCTTATGATACTAATTTTCCCTTTTTTTTATTTTCTAAAGTTATCAGCGCTATGACCTCTTTCAACCAACGCATTATTTAAATTTTCGCAGGAATTGACCAATACATTATGTTGCATACAACTTAACCAGGAAGGTTTAAACACATTGACTCATTTATGAGAGATTTTTTATTCGTCATACATAAAGTAATTACGAATGATTAACATAGAACTGGATAATATCGAAGTTAATTAGTAACCATATATAGTGTTTGGTTACAGATTTCCTCGCAAGCCCGAGGTGATGATTACGTATGAAGGCATTCAACTACGTATGAAACAATTGGAGGAATATTTGTACAATCTACTCAATATATCCATTTATAGAAATCACCATGAAACTGTAAGTATTTTACATACCTCGAACCTTTTTCTCTAAAATTTTTAATGATCCTATAGAACAATTCATTTCGTACTTAATAATAGAAATTACCCTAGATTCTATATTTCCCCATTGAGGCCGAGCTACCCTCGCCAAAACAGCCCGAGCTGAGCTGTAAAGGCCCTTTAGGCCAACAACGAGATTCCATTAAAAAAAACTATATTTTAGAAACGTCACTCTGTTGTTTTTTTAAATGAACAATCTTTTATTCCTAAGACGAAAAATTCAACTATTAAATTGCACTCCCATCACCCGTCTATTTAAAACAGGCATGTAGGTGATGATTGGGTGCCTCTCAATGAAAAATGTTTAATCAGGCCTAAGGTTTCTTAGTTCAATGGAATTATTGCAGTGTAACAAATAATTGTTTGTAGAAAAATTTTGTTTTCTTTTGCCTTTTCTAAACGAATATTCTTTTAAAAAATAGGTGGCTTTTTTGGAGGTCTCCCAAATGTCTTTTATATCGGAATTGGGGTCCAAGGGCAAAGAGGGCATAATTGAGAAACGCACGGGGTCTACTAGACCCGGTCAGGCTGGTTGCAACTGTTTCGGGCTTTTGGGCAATATGGTGTGTGTTCGGTGAGATTGTTTATGTTCTCATGATCATTATTTCGTCTTAAATAATAAACAAATAAAATAAGTTTTCTCAGGTCCTTGTAGAAGTCGACTTGCTGTATTAATATTTCATTGATTTTTTTGCATTATAAATTAGTTTTCGAATTCATGCATTTTTTCGCAATTCTTTTTTTTACTGTTTTTAATGGTTTGGAAGAGAATTGCAATTTTTATTATATAAAGTTTATTGGTAATTTTATTTTTTAAATTCTTGTGCAAAAACTGTAAATAAAAATAAAATAGTATTCTAGTTTAGTTGATTTAGTGCCATAACTTTCCATAATTCCCGTGGTAGGAAAGGTCGCGTTTCAGTAGCGAAAAACCTAAAACTATCGTTGCGCACTAATGGCTAAACTATTTATTTATTTAATAAAATAGTATTGCCACAGTTAGTTATAATATCGACACAATACTTTAAGGCAAAAATGGAATTCACAAAGTCAATTAGACAAAATACAGATTTAACGAAAATAATTTTTTTAGTATACATAGTACAGTACATCTATTGTTATTTTTGATATAAAAATCATAGCAGGTTACAAGAATGCATTCCTATTATAAGTCACTTCTATAATTTCTAACATTAAAACAATATTTCACATAATATATAAATTCTAATTTTCCAGGTGCAATTACTTCTGCACAGCATTGGTATGCGCAAAATTTCAAGAGCGATGGTTATTTGTCAAGGACACCTTCTTTGGGTATATTAGACCCAGCGATGGTGTCATCAAGGGTGTCATGTTGTTTGACCAAGGGTAAGGTTCAAATATACAAGTTAATAAAAAATAATAATGAATTTTGCTGCCTATATTTATTTTTCGTTCCATGCAGCTTGGTAAAAAGTTGTAAGTACTTAGTTTTTAGATGACATTGAAATCATAGTTTTTCGTATTAAAATGCGCTTATTTATTTCTAATTATTTTAGGTAAATATAAATTATTCGTGATAACGATAATATAAAGGAATACGAAAATATTTTTTTTGTAGGTTCGAAGTATCAAGTGGTATGTATTCTACTGGTCTCAGCAATGGGCTTCAAATTTTGAACCAGCACAGACAGTTGGTCATCAAATGCTGGACAAAACGGAAGAGTAAAGAGTGGATGCACTACTTAAAAACTGTTGCTAACCAATCTGGTGAGTAGATGCTGAAAAGAAAAATTATTGAAGATGTTACTATGATTAAATTTAAATTTGTGCTATATTGGTTTGTATAATTTATCACCTCTAAGAATTTACGGCTTTAAAAACCGAGGGACTAAAAGCATTTATACTAAACATAAATTTGAATAATCAAGTAGTAATATATATATATATATCTTGGCCTCAGATAGCATCTCTTTCTATTATTTTTTTATTGACAAGTGGGTGATAGCTGAAAAACACGATTTTTTAAGTTTCATTGAAGTTGAATTTTGGTGGTGAACACTAAGTTTATTGGAAAAAGGTTGTCATGTTCCAACCAAGCTTCACCTTTCTGCATTAGTTTAATTTAGAAACATATAATTTAAACTCATACCACTGTTAAAGCCGTATAATTTTTTTTGTTATAACAATACAAAATTCTACAGCTCGTGACTTCACATACCCGAACGTACACCATTCGTTCGCGCCCGCGCGTCCGTCTACGCCCGTGGCCACATTTGTTGACGGATGCGATTATCTCTCCGCGGTAGCAGATGCCATGGAATTGGCTAGAGAAGAGATTTTCATAGCGGATTGGTGGCTCAGTCCGGAGATTTATATGAAGCGACCCGCGCTCAATGGCGACTATTGGAGGTTGGATACTATATTGAAGAGGAAAGCAGTATGTTTTTAATTATATCTTTAAATAAAATAAAATATGTTTATTATGGAACATAAGATACATGTATCACTTATTCCACGTCATTAAATTTGAAGGCATCCCTACTCATCGGCAAAGAAGACAGAGGGTGTAGGCCGAGAGAAAAAGCCGGCGTAAAAAACTCTCGGTACTCTTTTAAAACAGCAAATCATCAAACAACACTTAGTTAAAACAAATATCGCAAATTGATTAGAAGTAGCCTGTCTAGCACTAGTCCCAGGCCCTTTTATCAACTAGATAATCGTTGACTTTATAGTAAGCCTTTTTACACAGCTTTTCTTTAATACATTTCTTAAATTTATTGAAAGGCAGTGATAAAAGAGCCTCTGGGATTTTATTAAAGAAGAGTATCCCTTTCCCCAAAAAAGAATTACTAACTTTAGATAGTCTAGTACGGGGATATTGCAGCCTGCGTTTGTTCCGTGTATTAACATTGTGCGTATGTTCTATTCTAGTAAACTTATCACTATTTTTGTATACATACATAATATTTTCATAAATATATTGCGAGGGAAAGGTAAGTATATTAATTTCCTTGAATTTATCTCTAAGAGATTCCCTACATTTTAAATTATAGATTGCACGAATAGCCCTCTTCTGCAGGATGAAAATAGTTTCGACATCAGCAGCATGACCCCATAATAATAAGCCATAAGTCATTAAGCTATGAATGTAACTAAAATAAACAAGTCTAGCTGTATCGACATCAGTTAGTGAGCGATTTTTTTAACCGCGTAGGCTGCAGAACTAAGTCTCTTCGCCAATCCGTTAATATGAGGGGACCACTGAAGTTTTGAATCCATGGTGATTCCGAGAAATACAGTTGTATCATCCAGATTCAATTCCTCACCGTTTATAATTGGTCTAGTATCCATAACCCTTGCATTTTTTGCACAAAATTTAATGCATTTTGTCTTTTTTGCATTAAGTAGAAGGTTATTCATACTAAACCAATGGACAATCGAAGACAGAGCATTGTTCACATCGTCAAAATTTGTTATTTGTCGTTTGATTTTAAAAATCAAGGACGTGTCATCAGCAAACAAAACTATCTGATGTTTTCTCTCTACCATGAAAGGTAGATCATTTATATAAACAAGAAAGAGGAAAGGGCCAAGAATTGAGCCCTGTGGTACCCCCATATCTACTGCCGACCCAGAGGACCTCTTACCATTCACTTCAACCTTCTGAGTTCTTCCGTGTAAATAGGAAGTCAGAAGATTCAGTGCGGTATTCTTGATGCCATAGTGGCGGAGTTTTCCGATTAAGGTCTCGTGTTGGACACAATCAAATGCTTTGGATAAGTCGCAGAAAACACCTAAAGCGTCATGCGACTCCTCCCAAGCCTTAACTATATATCTATATAACTCAACACCGGCATCGGCTGTCGAGCGACCCTTGGTAAAACCGAACTGATTATTATGTAATAATTTGTTTACGTTAAAATGACTTACCAGTTGATTTAATATAATTTTTTCAAATATTTTACTACAAGTAGGTAGTACGGAAATTGGTCTAAAGTTACTGGGGTCGGACATACTACCTGCTTTAAATAAAGGAATAACTTTACTATGTTTCATTAGATCGGGAAACTCGCCACTTTTAATACAATTGTTGAAAATTATAGCTAGATGGGGAGCAATTACATCAATTATGCTACTAATTATTTTTACAGAAATACCCCAAAGATCGGTAGTGTTCTTAATATCTATGGTTCTAAATATCCTCACTATATCGTCGGCACCAATTTATTAACTATACATAAATCAAAATGATCAAGTTTAACCAAGAGATTATATATCAGTCAATAGCAGAAATAACTGTTGCACGTTTCGTTAGAAGAACCTCTAATAAAAGATCTGTAATTAACTGTTTGGAACTAATTAACATGATTTGGATGATTTCAGGCTCAAGGCGTCAGAGTCTTCATAATGCTATACAAAGAAGTGGAAATGGCGCTCGGTATCAATAGTTTTTACAGTAAAACCAGATTGGCGACTGAAAATATTAAGGTACCTAAGGACAGTTTTTCTAACATGGCAAACAAAGTAACATCCGATGATGACAAAGATTCAGAGTCGAGAGGGCGCTAAGTACGACTTCCTTATGTCAAATCTAATGCATTTTTGACGTACGTTCCTCAAAATTTTACCCTCATGCGCTTAAAGTTTCACTTCTTGTTTCGCTTGTTTTACTTGAATTGAGACACAAATGGGATACAGGGGCGGTTGGATCCTAGTGTGACACTATAAATATTTTTTCAGGTTTTTCGTCACCCAGACCATGCTAAGGTTGGTGTTTTCTTCTGGGCGCACCACGAAAAGATAGTTTGCGTTGACCAAACTGTTGCCTTTCTTGGGGGCATCGACCTTTGCTATGGACGATGGGATGATTATAGACATAGGTATGTAAACGGTTAATGGTTGCACCCTGAGGTCGTGAGGTCGAATCACAGCTTGCCCCAATTAAGTTTCTATCTATGTGCGTATTTTCGCTCGTACGGTGAAGGAAAACATCGCGAGGTAACCGGCATGCCCTAGACCCAAATGGACTACGGCAAGTATCAGGCACATAAGACAGATCACCTATTGCCTATTGGAAAAAATACGCGTTAGAAGTTATCGTTCTTTGGCGTAACAAGACAAAAATCTTTTTAAAATTTTTATTTTTCGCCTCATTCTACGTTTGTTGAAAAAACGACCCTAACGAACGACCTAGAAAAATGATATTTAAACATACATTGAAACTTTTATTATAACGCATTATCTAGTTACATAAAGTTTATTCAAATATTACACAAAAAAAATATTTCTGCATAATTAATGAAATGGACATTTTTTATTTTAAAATGTTGACTATGCTAACTTCAAGATGTCGGTTTTTTGTGACGGTGTGTACGCGCATCGTAAAAATTTATTCTCATAATTTTTCCCTAACGCGCCAAAAGAAGTATAACTTCGAAAATCTATCAAACAGTTACACAAATCTGAGGCCAAGATAGCGCCGCTGTTTTTTTTTGCATTTTACAAATAATTTCATCAACAATAATTTTTATCTAAATATTTTTCTGCATTTGTAACGTGTATCTGCTATACGTGTGTGTAACACTTTATAAAGTAGCTCTATATATGGTGGGTAATAAATAAATTATATTCCCTATAATATGATAAATCAACAGACTTACAGACCTCGGTAATATATCGCAGCCGAAATCAACAATAAGAAGTAAGAAGAAAACTTCAAGTTCTCCCGGAGGCGGTCTGTTCGTTGCTCGTGAGAATAACATGGATGTGGCAATTGAACTAGCGAAAGCCACCAAGGATATCGTCATTGGGTATAACGAGTAAGAATACAATTTGAATAATTATTTTATAAATAAAAATGAATCGCAAAATATGTTACAAAAAACTCGAACACGGCTGAACCAATTCGAGTATTTTTTTTTTTATCTTGAAATTTGGAATTATGGAAAAAATTGTTTTATTTAGTACTTAGAAAAGCGAACAGTCACTATGGGGTAACTTAACAAAATGTTGTTGTGTTTGCTACTAAAAAGGTAGGCTTAAAGAGATACTTGGTTCTATTGCTTATGTCTAAGTAACTTTTTTTTTTACTTTTTAATTGTTCTGTACTTCTTGCAACGAAGTGTAAATAAACAAACATTTTTTTTTTATTTAGTTTAATAAATTAAACTATTAATTCCGGTGTACAAAAGTGAAGATGGAAGAACGACAAATAATGTTTTAACTAATTTATTTTCTAGGGTGATTCAAGAAGAGATCGACCAAAATGCACAAGGTGAAACGGAGAACGCACCGAACCCTGATTTGCCAGTCCTCGAACCCGGAGACCACCTTCTCATAGCTCAAGACAAGGATGAAAAACAAAACGTACTAGGCAAATTAACAAATAGAGGGAAAGATTTTATTGGTATAATTTACCCGCCGTACGAAGAAGAAAGGAATGACAAGAAATTTGATGACTCAGAAAGAAAGAAGGCAGAGAAGTATGCGAGATCCAATGATGAAGTTCTTTTGACGGATGCACTTGGTTTGAAGGCGGATGGAGTTAAACCTACACCGTTAGCGCAGGTATGTTCTTTTTATTTGCACAGCGTAAACACATTTATTTATTTATTTCGTAATACTACAGCTAACATAGATTATATATAACAAAAAACAATTACACTAAAGATATAGCCAAATATGACGACGAAGGGAGCACTTTAATTTTGTCGTTACAGGCAATGAGATAAAGACACGTAAATGTGTAAGATTATAATAATTTATTATTGAAAACATTTGCACACATAGCTATTTACTGGTTCATTTATAAAATAACTAAGAATATCACTTTGAAACTGACCCATAAATTTTACTCCGTAACGTAAACGCTACCTAGTTAGCTGATATCTATAAACAAAAGGTAAAGATGTAAATATCTGTGTGAATATAAACAGTGAAACAGACCAAACGTGTCCAAAAGTGAACAAAAGATAAGAAATGTTTGTGAAATGTGTGTCTTTGGCGGCTGACGCCGGTCGCAATATCTGCATAGGGTTTCTAGGAATTTGTTATAAATTATTCATTAAAAACAGTCGCTATACCAGAAGTCGGCGTTACATCCAAAGTATTAAAATATGCTTTAAATTCAACAATTTAACGTCGTTTTAACTAAATGGTCGCTACAACCAAGGTCGTAATAAATGAAATCCACTGTATATACAAAAAGATTCGATCGTTTACAAAACGAAAAAATCAATAAAAAATATGAAATACATTTAACTAAGTAGTACCTAATTCGGCTGTGTTGTGTTATTGTGTGTATGTGGGGTGTGCTCATTGTTGCTTTTTATTTGGTTTTAGTTTGGTTTGGTTTTATAGCGTTATAGATATTCTTAATACCTACTCCTTTTAAGCATATTCTGCGATAGCTTTGATTTTTCACATTAATTAGAAAGAGACAAAATGTTAGAAAAACAAATACACTGATTTATTTTTTATGAAGAATAACTTAGTGTCGGTGTCGGATCGTGGTAATTTAATAATTTTCCATTCATTTTCATTTAATAAGAAAAGTAGTAGAAGTAGAAAATTAGTACAGTGAATTTTAAACGAATAATTTACCTGTCAAAATATTGATGTAAATATGTTATTTTATCGTTGCAGGTCGTTGAAGGTAGAGTTATAACGGAAAGTACAAAGAAAGTTCTGGAAGGAATGGAGGGGAACTCGAAAATATGGATCGGGAAGGATTATGTCAACTTTATAGTGAAGGACTTCAATAATTTGGATTCACCTTTTGTTGGTAAAAACTTTATTATTTAATACGCCGACAACGCATTTGCGAACCTTCTGACATTCACATGAGTCTCCTGTTATATAAAAAAAATCCACCTAGTCAGGTCTATAATCGCCCCGTTTTTAAAGTATGTTGAAATAAATTTGTAGAAATTGCTTTATTAATAATTTGAGTGATTCCAGACCTTGTGGATAGAAATACAACGCCTAGAATGCCTTGGCACGATGTTGGTGTGATGATACAAGGCGCGGCTGCAAGAGACGTCGCCCGACATTTTGTGCAACGATGGAATGCTATCAAATTGGAAAAAGCTCGGTATATAACCTTTAAAGCTTTATTCTCTTAAATCTAATTTTCTATACTCGGATTTTTTATTCCGTAGAATTCTGACAGCTATAATTTTTTGACATGTCAGAGATGGCAAACCTTTGGCTGCTGCAGGCTGGGCACATTTTTCAATTTCAATAAGAGTTTGTCATCACAAACAGTAAAAAACGCACAAGCAAAGATAACATTTTATTTTTTTAAAAAGGTCTACTAAACCAGGAATTAGTAGGCAGTGATGCCAGCTAAGGAATAAAATAAAGTAATTAAAGTTAATTCGATATATTGGTCGTGATATTGAAATATTTGTTATTTTTTATTAGGTCACTTGACTAAGTAAATATTTAGATTTACCTTTTTGTAGGCAAAACATAAAAAATATGTAGCATTTTTTTATTGACCTCACATAAGTCAAATTTGTCCCTTTCTTAGTAGCAACACTTATGAAATATCAGAATTCTACGGAATAAAAAACCAGAGTATATTCGATTTTTGAAAATCAAAGTGAAAATATGGTTGAGGAGTCTTTAAGCATATGTTTCTGTTCTTTTCTAAATTTTCAATTAACGATGAATTTTCTGTTAAGAAAACCAGTGGCGCTACAAACCTTGGAATTGGCCTCAGTTTTCTTTATCCGTTTCTTAATTTAAAAAATAATAGGCAAGTAAGTGATCAGGGTGCCTGACATGCTGTTAACCTTTTTGGTCAACCATGATTTCACCTTACAAGCGAGAACTAAAAGCAAACAGAAAGTAGTACATTTATTAGTACACTGCGGGGTTCGAACCTACGACTTAAGGGATGAGAATCCCTCTACCTTCTACTCTATTAAAAATATAATTTTAATTTTTAACCAACTTCAAAAAAAGGTGTAAACCATTCAAATTCAATATCATTTATTAATTTAGGTAACACAATGTACATTTATAAATGTCAATAAAGAAAAACATATTAAACGCTAAATGCTACTAATTTTACATTTACTGCCAGTTCTCAAATCAAGGGCGTAGCAATAAACTCTGCCCACTCTTTTAATCGCCAAGTTCTTTTTAAACAAAATGTTTGTAAGGAGGTGCAAACCATTACACCATGTTCCACATGACATCTTAAGTAATTAATAGTTAATAATTTATAAAAAACAAAGATTTTCCCACTATCAGCAGTTGGCATGGTGAAATAGGAGCACGCACTTACATTCTTGCGGGAACAACACACAAGAAAATTCGATGTGTATTCAGAATCATAAGTTATATCAGAAATCCCCTTGTACCAAACCTATAGTAGGTACATATGTTTTTTTTTTCAGGCAAAACAGTAATTACCCATATCTATTACCCAAGACGTATACGGACATCAAGCCTTTACAAGATCTTGCCGAGTTATTGAGTATTAATGTCAATAATGTTTCCTGTCAGGTAAGGCATTTCGATTTGTGTGTCATAAAAAATGTCAATGGTCAAAACAGTATTGCCATGCTTTGGTCAAATATTTTTTATAACTTAAGCTGGTATTTATAGTGCAGACTTACCGGTAAGTTTCTCATGTATGTAAATTTTTTGATATGTGAGAATCGCACTTAGCCCTGAGTTGCCATCAATTGTAGAAAAATTACTGCCAACATTATTAGTCTTTGTTAAATGTGAAATTATGATATATGGTATAAAGAGTCACTAGGTGGTCACGAAACGTTTTACTATACTTGGGTACAATACTGTACTTGGGTTGAGAAAAGCGTTACGACGCGTTACATGGCCCCCCATGTCAATAATCTCCAAAAATTGCGTGATGTAATACTTGAACGCTCACTAGAGCAAAGACAACAAAAAAACTGTGTAAATTTTTTTTTCAATAGTCAATTCTAACCTAAGAAAAATATTAAAAAATAAGCTCTTCAAAATGTTTTAGGTCCTGCGAAGTGTATCCAGCTGGTCTTGTGGTTTCCTGGACCCTGATACAGTGGAACAGAGCATACATGAGGCGTATGTTGATACAATAACGAGGGCACAGCACTACATATATATTGAGAACCAGTTCTTCATCACGCTCTCGAGGACGAATCCCACTGTTCGGAATCAGGTACTACCGTTATATGAAAACTGATTTGAATGTTTCATTTCTGGTAGTAAGTAAAAAAATACTACAAAACCTATGAAATTATTTTGGAAAATTGTGCTTTAATATCGAACAAGTACGGTTATTTAAACAGCTTATATAAAATAACAATTCCAGATGGAAAAACCATGAAGGATCCCAGTGATATATCTAAACATTGGAGTGTGTGTATGTGTGTATGAGAGACTTTGTGTGACTGTAATGCTATGTATATCACAAATTAAAATGTCAATATGTAACCAATAACAATAAAGGAAAACACTATGATTTCGTATGTCGTACAGTCTGGCGCTTTCTTCTACAATATTTGTATAACAATCTCTTTCCTAAAAAAAACTAATTTAATTTTTGTTACATTTTATTACGCTTTAACTATCGTTATAGTTTTACGGTAGTACAACTTATTAAATCTGCTATACAAAAAAAGGGTGCGTGTACTTATGTACGCGCGTATGAAGTTATACTTCTTTGGCATTATTAAAAATAGTTTTTGATTGCATGCAAATAATTAATTACAATTAAATAATCAAAGACTGGAAAAGGAGTCATTATAGTCAATAAAGTTCAGTATACATTTGAAAAATTAAATAAATAAATATTTATTATTATTCTCTTACATTAAGTGTAACATAAATTCTATTATTATTCGAATGTTGTTTTTAAATTATGTCCAATGCCGTAGCATCTTCCGTGGGCAACTTCATTCTGTTAATTTTGTGTCACGGTGCGCGTGCATCGTAAAATATCGTAAAGTATCAATTTTTCATAACGCGCCTAAAGAAGTATAACCTCAAAAACACAAACACATATTATAAACAAATAAAATGTATAAACTTCATACATTTTATTTATAAACATTTATACATTTTACTTATATTTTTCAAAATCAGATAAGTAAGAATGAAAAACTTTATTAGGTATACATAATAGAAAAGGATGTTTAGTTTGGGAAACGAGTCCACTAGCCCTCACTCTAGTGTCACTATCTTCAATTTGAAGTTTTAACAGTACTGCACATAATAATCTCCACATAACACTTAAAATTGTATACTTAAACAACTTTTACACAATAAGATGAGATGTTGTTTAACATTGTTGTGAATGTATATAGTTTTGATTCGTTAGTTCGTTTCGTTAAATTTTTTTTAAGAAAGTGGTTAAACATGAAGGGAGAAAAAGCGTTGAACGAAGAAAGTTTTTGTTTGGTATCTGATATGGCGTTTTGTATGTTTGTTTACCAAAAAGTCTGCATTGGCATTAAGTATAGTTGTGTAACCGTTAAAAGTATTGTTTCATAGTACAATTTTGAAGTAAAAACCTGATGTATGTCTGTAAAAAATGATTGTTTAATTGATTGAGAACATAAATTGGTAGAAAACTAGTGTCAGGGTTCTAATATACTATGATAATATCTACGCTTTATAATGTAGGAAATATTACAGATTGGTGAAGCCCTATACAACCGCATAATGCGTGCGTTTCGTAGCAAGGAGATATTCCGCGTATACGTCGTGATGCCCTTATTACCTGGCTTTGAGGGAGAAGTGGGAGGTGCTACTGGCACCTCTTTACACGCTGTTACGCACTGGAATTACCAGAGTATATGCAGGTATATTTCTATGGCTGTTTGTTTCTATGCCATATATTATATAATCTATATATTATAGTTATATTTATTGTCTTTGATTAACATAACTTTTATTCATTTAATAAAACACTATTTTGACCGGATTGAAGTTATGTATTATTATAAATTTACAACTATTTAACATAATTTTAAATTTATCCGACGTTTCGCGTGCTTTACAGCGTGCCGTCACCGTTTGACACCGTGACCACGCACGCTGTAAAGCACGCGAAACGTCGGATAAATTTAAAATTATGTTAAATAGTTGTAAATTTATAATAAACATAACTTCAATCCGGTCAAAATAGTGTTTTGTTATATTTATTTCCAAAATGAAACAAGAATAAAACATTTTTTTTAGAGAGAGACCTTTAACCTTGAAGAGCTACACCACCATATATACACCATTATATATACTTCGTCTCTTTCTGTCGAATTGTGCTTACGTTATAATGAAAAGATAGAGTCCTTAAGAGTAACAGCGGAATCAAACTGACAATATATAAGATTTGTTTATGAATAGCTGCCCCCGCGAACTTCGTTTCTCCTTTATGTGATTTTACTTAGCCTACCTTTTTAGTACATAACAACATGAAATGAAAACATTTTAGGTTTTTCTGTGATTTTTCTCTATATAAACCTCAGAGTTTAAGTTATAAGTTAATTACCAACAAATAAAAATAGGGGTTGATTGTAGAGGGTAGATGAAAATTAAGGGTTATGTGTTTTTCTGTATGCTGTATCACAAAAAAATAAAAATAAAATTTTTGATGTGGACACCCCTTATCACTTAGGGGGTTGAAAGATAGATAGTAGCCGATTCTCAGAATTACTGAATATGCATAAAAAATTTCATAAGAATAGGTCGAGCCATTTCGGAAGAGTATGGGAACGAACATTGTGACACGAGAATTTTATATATTAGATTGATGATTAATGAAGTGTATATAATTAACCAATTTTAGAAGTCGTGAGGCCATAATAACCCGTTTGTACGAAGCGGGACTTCCAGACCCAAGCGAATACATAACATTCCACGGGCTTCGAACCCATTCTTTACTAGATGAAGAGCCAGTTACCGAACTGGTATACGTTCATTCGAAGTTACTCATCGCTGATGATAGATATATTATCTGTGGAAGCGCTAATATTAATGACAGATCCATGATTGGCACGAGAGATTCGGAAATCGCTGTGTTGTTGCAGGTAAGTCAATATTACTATTACTATACTATTGGTATATTAAATAATATTAAAAGGTGAAAAAAGCTGTCTATTCGGGTGTAACGATGATGAAGAGACCACTAGTCGTTATATCTGGACGTACGGACAGGTAAATTGTCTTCACATATAATTATTTAACTAATGTATACAAAATATTGTAAACCTATTTTTAAAGAGTAAGTGTGGAGTTTCTTGCCCATTCTTCTCCACACGGAAGAACTCCTTTTGGAAGGGGCAACTAGAATCATCTTTATACTTATTTTATTTGACGTTCAAAAGTGCCATTTTAGGTGGTCTAATTGAAACAAAAGATTTGATTTGACTTGAATATCACTTTATAACTGAACGTTAACGTCGAAACGTACTCCTCCTACTTAGCCAATATCTATAAACAATGGTCAGAAAATGTAGGGTACATTTGTATAATTGTAAACAAAATATATTATTTGTGTTTTTGATGGCCGATCGTAATATCTGGAATTTATAGGAATTTGTTACAAATGGTTCATTAAAACAGTCGCGATTCCCGAATGCTGCGATACTTTGGCTTTGTACTAAAAGCATGCTTTAAATTTAGTAAATGGTCGCTACAAGTTACAACTATATACTAACTATGGCCGTAATATTTCCTTTTATTTTTTTATATATTTTCTTAATATAAATTCATGACAGTTAAGTTCTTTAATATTGCGACATCTATGCATAGCATTAGTTAACTTGACACATCGGCGTCATGTTTCCAAAATTTTTAAAAAGATTTTTGGCTGTTTATCTTCACTGTTTTATTATTGAGAGTTATAGCTCTAAAATAATGTTCATTATATAAAAATAAATATAATAGATTGGCGACACGTTCTCGTTTAGTAATTGGGTAATTTTAAATTGTAACTCCATCTCTTGCCTTAAATTATCATAATTTTTCTAGACTTTTTTTAGACATTTACGTGTTTTAACCAATTAAATTTTAGGCCAAAAATGTCACTAGTTGGAAAGTTTCTGTTTATATTAATGATTGATTTATTTACCTATTTCTTTTGATACCATATATTCATATATTTTTCAAGAACAAGGAGGGTGCGAACGTAAAACGAATGACGAAACCGTATGTTTAATTGGTTTTTTGATTTTTTTGAAGTGAAACTTCTTTATCGGGGTTGTAAAAAAAATTTAGTGTAACATTTTTGCGTTACGCGTCACATTTTTCCGTTACGCGCCATGTTGCTTTTTGAAGTCAAACTTCTTTATCGGCGTTCAAATATGACATATAGTATGTTTTTGACTTTGAAGTTTGACAACGGATTACATTTTCGACTTGAAATTTGCTAATCGCAATTTGCAGCAATTAATTTGTAAATTGTATGCTAGGCAGTGTATCAAAATTTACTGTGTTTAAAGAAATAGTTTCTAATTAGGTCATAAAGAAGTTTCACTTCTTACGTGTGTACACCTAGTACACGCACACATTTTTTTTACTCTTGTTTGGTCTCTTTACAGTATCGCCTGGTCTGATAACGAATCGGAATAATTCTAAGATCTGTATATATTCCAGGATGAAACCTTCGAAGATGGTGTGATGAATTCTAAACCTTTCCCAGTTGGTCGGGTGGCTGGTGCCCTCAGAAAAAAGTTGTTCCGTGAACATTTGTGTCTCTTAGACCTGGATATGGAACAGATGGGTATCAATATAGACGACCCATGTGCTGAACAGTTCTACATCAATATATGGAAGAATACATCAAAGAAAAATACGGAAATTTATGAAGAGGTTAGTTTTTTGTAAGGAACACACTAGTGGACATACATACATATTTCGAATAAGAGTAACTTAACCTAGGACTATTACCGCTTAAACTATTTAAAACTTAACAGCTAGTATTGGTGTATGATTCTCGGTTCAATTCCCGGCGAATTTTTTTTTTTGAAGTGAAACTTCTTTATCGACGTATGGAAGAAATTTTGTAGCAAATCGTCACGTTTTTCGGTTTAACGCGCCATGTTGCTTTTTGAAGTCAAACTTCTTTATGGCGTTGGAAAAAAATTTACCGTCACATTTTTCGGTTACGCGCCATCTTTTTCTTGTCCCTACCACGGTTGATCCGAAAAGATTCGAAGCATTCAATAACAAAAATATATAATTTTTTAGTGTTGATAGGCACAGGCTTATATACTCAAAATAATAAATGGTGTGTTTAGTACAAGCTGAAAATTGTAAATTAATTATATATATATAATTTATCTATAAAACCTTTTCGGCTTATTTTTAACCGACTTCACAAAACAATGGAGGAGATTATCATTTCGACGTGTATTTTTTTTGTGTCAGTTATATTTTAGTGTTATATTATAGTATTAGCACTTAACTCCAAAACGCAGATTTTTAGTGAGACTATGACTTCAGGTGTTCCACCCATTACCGACGGACGCGGTACACACATTCGCCGAACTAAAGAGATATCAAGAGGAAAACTCGGAGACGCTATGGCGTAAAGACCCGGCGCTGGCGAATAGGAAAATAGACCTTATACAGGGCCATTTAGTTGACTTACCGCTTGATTTCTTGTGCAATGAAACGTTGACGCCTCGCAATACTTCCATGGAGGGAATGCTGCCTACATCTTTGTGGACGTAAAATCGATTTTTTATGTTTCAATTAGTAATCGTAGATGGCGGAAAATTAAACTATGTTTGGCCCGAAAGCCCGTTAAGGTAACTTAATACAGCAAATAATTTTATTTTATACTAATGAAGCTTTATATAGCTTTATCTATAATATAAAAATGAATCGCAAAATGTGTTGGTAAGCGCATAACTCAACAACTCCTGGACCAACTTGGCCAATTCTTTTTTTATAATATTCCTTGAAGTACGAGTAGAGAAAACTTAAAAAAAATTGAGTGAAAAAGTCTAAAAACAACACTTTTCTATATTCCCATACAAAATATTCGTAATAATACTTAAAAGTCAATTTGAACTTTAATACCATAACATAAAGTTCAAGTGTTAGTGGAGGGGTTCCGGGAAGGTAAAATTTTATTTTTTGACGTAATGTATTTGTTGTCTTATCAACTTTCTTTTTTTTTATCTTACTAGCTAGACCGGTGTCCCGAATAGCAGAATAAGTATTTAAAAAAATAAAGAATCAACTGTTAGGTGGTACGATGTTCGCCAGGCCAGCTAGTATACTAATGAAATTACAACTAAATCCTTTATACAAATTATTTTAATTACACTTAATAATAAAAGTATTTATTTTAATGAAAAAATGAGATTACTATACCTATTTATATTGATGAATACAAATGATTATTAATATGCAAAAATATTAATATACATATCCTAATGTAGCCCTTGATGGCGCTTTTATTCACATATAATTATATTGTGTCAAGGTTTATTTTACAATGTCCATAAATATATATTATCAGTTTCGCTTCTGGTTCGCGATGGTTATTGTATGCATGCCTTTTTTTCATTCCATTTTATACTTAATGAGAACTTAATCTACCTCTTTACATTCTGTATTACCTTGCCTTTACTGTAGTACTAGTAAATGTTGTAACAAATAAAGTAGGATTTTATTTAGTATGTAAATAGATTTAGTAAGTTGACAAATCTATATATATTATATAAGTAAAAAATATATTTTGGTTAATTCGTGCAATAAAGATATTTTTATAATTATTTTAGTTTGATTTCCTTATTCACCATAAAAAAAATTTTATGATTATAATATAAATTATAAAGGAACCTTGTTAAACTATCCATGGGGGATAATCTTATTTTTCACCAATCAATTGGTCCTGTAATAGCTAACGCTGAACGCAGCGTATTCTGACGCAAGTATCGATCATACTAATTCCAGAAATACTATAAAAGTTAAACGTTAGGTAAGGTTAAGACCCATCTAGTGACGCAAGTTAGTTATTGTTGATAAAGTAAACAGTTTTCGTATTATTATTTAAAACTAGATGGCGCTATTATCAATCCTTTCAACAAAAAGGTATTCACTAGATGTCACTTCTGCCTGACGGGCATATTTTATAAGTAAATGTATAAATGTAATATTCTTTTAATACACATTATTTTTTTTTATTTTTTACGAATATAACATTATTTCATGCGAAGAGTATGAATTGATATTTATTCAACAATCCTTGTAAATTAAATATTTATTGTTTTTAAATCGATATTTGTAGTGTCAACAATATTTCGTCCTTGTAAAAAATATCTCTTCGTCTAAAATAAAAGGCTAAATTGTACGTAGATAATATCGCTGACTAGCAAATTCAAATCCTATTTCTGTCAAAACGTGATACTTAGGTTGAATAATTATTTTTCTTAAACACCTACAAATACAACATACACATACGTCACACTGTAAAAAATAGGAATGAGAGACAGAGAGAGAGGGAATACCTATTACCTATACCTATATGTTTGTATACATTAGGAATGTGTGAAAAACGCTTCTATTTCTACACATGTACCTACCTAAGTATGTAGCTATAATTAATAAATTTTACTTATAACTTTTGTCAAACATAATCAGTTCATATGAAAAAGTTTCTAATATCAGTAAAGACCTATTTTTTAATCGATATCAAAAACCGGAAGGAGGTTAACAAATCGACGCGTCAGTAATATTGAAAGTCTTTATTTTCATGCATGTCTATTTGGATTTAACATGTTTCGTCAAAACTTTGTATTCAAAATAAAAAAAAAGCTAATTGTTATGACTACTGTTGTAACTCTCTATCTTCTTAAAAAAGATATGTACTTACTTGACCTCTCACACTTTTTAAATAAGTCAAGTAGGTATAACTTTACTCTTTCTAGATAAATTACGTAATTAGATAAACTTATTTATGTAAGTATAGCACAAGCTTTTCTGTTTATTGTATAAAAATCACTTTTAATTGTACAGGTACTTAATAGTTTTATAATATTTTTGTAAACATTTGGCTTATATTTGCTGTAAATAAGTAATACTTATTATAGGTACAGATGAAGTATACTAATATCTTCTCTCATTTCTACTTAGGTAAATATATTGTTTAGCTATATACCTATTACCTACCTAGATATCTATTTAGCATTGCAATTTATAAATTACAATTTCTTTAAAAAAAATCTTTAACGTAGACCTCTAGTAGGTATATGTATACTTTTAAAATATCGTATTTAATTTCACATTGAAATTACTTATTCTAAATCTCCGGTAAAAGACAAAGTATAATGAAGAATGATTATCATAAACTTTTGTGCACTTGTTTGTGAACCTCAGAGTCCCTGCTCCACTAATGTGTTGAGTAGTGACTTTGAATGTGTGTAGGGTCATTATGCTGCATTATTTGTTACGTTTAGGGCTGGGATGGGCCTGTCCCTATCGACGGCGATTCCCTTCCGTGGGTATTTGAATAGGCTTGCGGGTTGCGTAACGCTTGGCCAATGACAGCGTCCCTGCACATGCACGGGGCGGAGCCCTTACGTCACCGCGCTCTGCCTCCGACCGTCGCGCAGCCGCTCTGACGTCACGCTGCCCGCGACCCGCGCACCCCGCGACAACAGCGCCCATGCGGCTCGTGGCGGCGAGACGAAACTGGCGACAAAACACTCGCGCGCTCAAAGATGGCGGATGGGTCGCCAGAGGATCGTGCGTACCCGAAACAAATGAATGAATTAACTTTTTCCGCAACCGACCCGTCCCATGGTGACATAAAAAAGTGCAGTGAACATACAGTGGACGGCAGAGTGAGGTTATCGTTCTATACTGAACTAGATGAGAGTGATTCGTGTGAAAAATGTGAGACACTCGGCGTGGCCGCTAATCGCCCCGCGGCAGACGCATCGAATTCCCAAAAAACTACAGGGTCCCATACAGATGACAGTGACGACCGGAAGAAGAGATGCTTCGACAGATATGATAGCTCCGAATCTTCTGACAGGTAGTTTTTTAGCTTATTGGTTATATTGTGATGAGTGTCTAAATGTAAAAGTCAATGCTCCAGTGACCGGAGGCTGTTACGCTGGTTTCGATGTCATGGCCATTGCGACTCGAAATCTGTCTGAATTGCGATGTCTCGTCGCGTCACTAGGCCTATTTCGGTTGAATGCCCTCAAAAGACCTCAAGATGCCTAGTACGTACTTGACTGCCGTAACGCATGTACGATAGTAATACAGATGATTCCAATCCGAAGAGCCACGCGATTGTTATTAAATCTGCTCACAATCCTATTCTAAAAAATGCGAAAGTATGTTTGTAATTGTTATGCTTTTCTGCATAACCTGCTGAACTGATTTTAATTAAGCGGTGGTGGACCTTTTAACATACACAATTTCTCATCAGCTACTTTTTGATTTTAGTTTTGTATGCTCCCTTGAAATGTCCCAAAGAAGTGAGGTTTTTCATCTTTTAATATTTTCTTGTTAATAAAATTTATTACATTATTACTACGCAAAAGTGTTAAAAACATATTTTATTAAGGATAATTATCGTCCACTAAGTACCTATTACATCAAACATTTGTAAGAAGAGTTTCTGTGGGCCACCTAAACGTATTAATAGTAATATTACGAGTTACGACTTAGCATGTACATAGTAAAATGTGTGATAAATTGTGATTACATAAAGAGCTAGTTACCCAAATTCGTGATAATTCAAGGCAATGACTTGAACTTGACTTCTATGTCTTGGCCATTATCACATGACGCACAAAACTTGATAATATTTGTGATAAGAAAATATATCTCTTTTGTTTCATATCACTGGGCTTGTAATGAGGTGATAGTTTTACTTTGAAGTTTTTTTAATCTTTTATAAGAACTTTGCAAAGATAAGTTAGGTATGTAATGTTTGAACATTATTTTCTTAAATAATTTTCCTACATTTGCAATTGATAAGTATTTTAATAAATTATATTACTCAAACTTTCTTAAGATACATCAAACCTGGAGTTTTCTGTCCAGATGCGTAGGCGATGTAAGGTTTGCCGTACAGTTTGCCGTCTCAGTTCGTACACATAATATACAATTATAACTAACTTCTCAATTAATATTTATTTAATATTGATAAATTATTAAGTTTTTGTGATTAACGAACACGACGTATAATGGACCTTGGAGTCCTGGCTTAAATTCTCAGCGAAAATTACTTATTCGTCTTAAAACAAATACCTATAAAGACGCAAAAATTGGATCACGCACTATGAGGGCTTCAAACATACATAAGTATAACCTTTTATTTAATTATAAATTGTATTGTACGCTAAATTGCAAATAAGGCTTAAACAATTGGGATTGTTAACGTCATTTAAATCCGGTAAAGATAAATTTTCTTTTTATTGTATGATACACGCGAAAATAAAATATTATTTATTAAATTTATAATTTTGCTGGTTAGCCTTTGATTATTTTTGGTCCAAAGTTTACTTAATAATAAGGATATTGATAACAAGTGAAGTGCTTTATTTGGGTCAAATATTTCAGATAACATTACTAATATTTCATTAAGTTTTTTCTAATAGGCCTACAGATTGTAACACATTTGTTTTTTCATTTATAAAAACTGTTGCCACTTAGTTACTTTGAAATTACTACACACTAGAAAATTATTAACATAAACTTCTGAAATATCAAATATTTTACTTTTTATCTAGAAGACTAAGTTAGACTAGTAAGTGTAAGTTTAAAATTGCTATGAATCCTTTTGTATGACATACCAATTTGTATAACCCTTCCATCTGTTAGTACATTCGGCTCATTTTTGTATTTCAGTTGGTTAGAGCAATACATTTTCCCTCCTGTCTACTAACTATAACACTAAAGAAACCAAAGTATTTTTTTACATCCTCCATTTTTCATATTTTTCTTTAATAAATTATGGTATTTAAATTTATAATTCAGTAAATATTTTATTTTTTAAAAGTTTCTAAGGTTCTTAAAGACTGTTTCTAGTCAGGTATTTTATTACTTATTGTATTCTGAATGCGTTTGTTTAACATTAATGGCATTAAATTATTACTTACTTATTAAATAATATTAGGCCTATGCTTCTACAGTAATTTGTAGTTCTTTCAGTAATCTTATTGACAATGTGATTCACAAGTTTTAATTTTGAATAACATGTTATATCATATTCAAATTTAAACATATCAACCTCACCAGCAAGAATTAAGAGTAGTTTATACAGTAATATTATTATTGGAAACTCTAACTTAATATCTACTTGCCCTAAGTGCTTTAGGATAGGTATGGGTGCAGTAACATAGTCTGTGTAATTATTATGTATGCATTTCCTGAGTGTGCAGGCAGTGTGGTTGATTTGTTGACAGAAAAATTACAGTGGTCAAACATGGATGCAATTAACATTGATTTGTTTAGTATTTTAACTAAAAATATTCACATTTTCCTTCGCATTAACATGCCTTAAACAACTAGTAAACAGTAGGTATAGCTTACTATAGAAACTAAATCGAAGTAATTTATTTTATCTTTAAATTAAGCATGGTATAAGATTACACATACTTAGATAATAGATTATTTACAATAATTTTAATAGTCATTTCGTTAGTTGTTATCAAAATAATGTTATCTAGCTAATTTTATTAGATATTGTATATAATGTTAACAACTATAAGAACAGTTGTTTTATTTTCTCTAAATTTCCCCATAATGCACATGATTTATTTAATAGTTACACCAAATTACACACATACTACAAACTTAAAGGTACATTCTAAAAATTTATAAAAATGAAATCAGTGTAGTCTTATTCTTGTAACTTAAGTACTATTTTGTCTCTTTCTGCCAAATTGTATTTACGCAGGGATGAAAAAAGACAAATGTGTCCTTTAGTTAAAACGGTTAGTATGATATTTTTTAGTTTTAAAAACGATACCGATATAGATATAGGAACATTCGTAATAAATGACTATAAACTCGTTTGATTTTATAATAAAATAACAATAACACAATAAACGTACGAAAACTTAAGGCCATAAGTACTATAATATAATAGCTAAGTGACTAACCGGACAGAAATTTGTCCAGAGTCAAGTTTCTTTATCTATTGTATAAAATGTATGAAGTAATCGTGAAGTGTCTCAAACGAGTGTACCTATCAAAGTATGGTGCGAAAGTTTCGATCGCTACAAAACAAAATGTACGGGTTCGCGCTAAGGCAAGAAGGGTGAGCGGTAAAATAAAAAGTTAGAAGTTCTAACCGGGCGCACGAAACTGGTTCCTTGTTGCCGTGTGGTATGTAGCTGCTACGCTCTTGGCACGCACATATATACGTCAATACTATAATTTTAATTTTTGACAGTTGTAAGTGTTGAGATTTCATACAATTTGTTTCTGTTGTTTATTTTTCTAAACGATTTTGCGTATTGATGCAGTGTAGGATTTGGATAAAATTAGTTCTATAGGTGCAATTTATTTCAATAACAGTTATCATTTATTCATTTGTTTCTATTTTCCACTAAACAATATAGATAGACTAAATGATGTAAATTTAGTTACGTAAATGAGGATTATATTTTATTTCTATTTGCTGTAGTATTTTCGACCCAATTTCTTTTTTCGTTAATTATTAAAACACTGGCTTGTTACATACGTTTTTTTCAAATGGTGTGTCTTTGTACACTGTTTAATTTTATATATCTACTTACAGTGATATTTTTATATCAATTTTCACTCGATAGTAACAACTATAGTTCCTGTGTTAACTATAAAATGGAATGATTAATCTTATTTACTAGTATTGTGACTTTTATATTTCTATATATATCGAATAGATTTAATTAACAAATAAATCAAAATGAAATAACAAACAACGTTCTGGGAAATTGTTTGCTATATTTTCTAGACTAAAGTTATTCTCATAACTCGACGTATAATAGCAAACCAACTTGTTAGTTAACATGGGTCATTAATTTTACAATCATTAACCAAGTATCATATTTCTTAGTTAACTTTAATAACTATACATTTTTTTATTGTTTTATGTGATTAAAGTGCAAGTAATGAGCGTTTTTAAAATTTGTAAGGGAAGTCAAAATCGAATATACAGAACGTAGTTTCTTCCTATTAAAAGGTAGACCGAATTATGGTTTTCTTCTAAGGAGATGGGTACTATCACAACAAGATGTGAACAAACGTGTTAAGAGAATAGCAAAACTGCAATTAAACACAAGTTATTGCAATTGTAAATTATACAAACAAAATCATTATTAGTAATCACACATTGATTCGTAATATATTGCGTTAGAATGTAAACAATCTTTCGTTAAAACGGAAATTCTGATAACGCTTTTTGTGATATCTCGAGTAATTAAATTGGCATATAATCTGATTGAAGAGGAACATAATATTGTTTGCGGTCGACCGATAACCGCGTGGTAACGCCTGTTTCACCAAGTGTAACGGTCATTAACTGCTCGTTATGAGAAAACTTGAAGGTTCGGATGGCGTGTTATAAAATACTAGCGGCATATCCCTGCTTCACACGGCTGGGCTTTTATTTATTTAGACTTTGTTGCATTACAATATAAATAAAAATAATTAAATGAAAAGGAGGGCAACTGGCGGCCTTATCGCTTTAAAAATAAATTAAATTAGATAGCAAGAAGTGTAAAAATACATATTACATAAAGACAAAACTAAACAGGAACAAAAAACAAACTAAACTAAAAAAACATGAAAAATAAAAAGTGCACATGGATCATGATAATTTAAGATCAGTCTTTTACTTTAGTATATTTCGCAAACATCAGCCTAGTACTCTAGGATAGTGTAGCAATGGTGAAAGGATTTTGGAAATAGCTCCAGTAGTTTTTGAGTGTTATAAAATACTAGACACTAACTTTCCTCTTTATAATATTATTCTAGATATAGAATAGCTATTTGTTATTTATATAGAGACTGCGATTAACGCCGATTTATTATAATA